GTTTGTACAGCCCAGGCGTTCAGTGGTCATCTCCCAATTCCACTCTGGCACCCCATTCCCAGCTTATTCTGGATTCCAATAATGAATACATTCTTATTCAGATGGAGTTGTTGTGACCATTCTAAGCTGTGTTTTCTTTATCTTTACTGTTATCAACATTGAAAGAAGAAGTTAAAGAACAGCAAAGAGTGAGTCAAGTTTGTGGCATGCAGTTTAAGTGTTCAACATGTTTATGAACCACTGATTAGTACACATAAAAATATTGCTTATATTACTTTCATAATCAAAATGATGACTCATTGAAGCTCCATTTCTTTCTGCCATCCAAGGGACAGGGGGAGTAGGCAGCTTTTTGCAAGTCCAGAAAGCTTCGTGAAGAGGCAAATCTCCAGACTGCTTGACTTTTGATTTCTCCCCCTCCGTAACTGACATATGTGTAGCTAGTCTTCTGTATGTATTTTTATAAATGCCTTAGGAGGATGGAAAGATGAAAAGACACACAGAGGGTTTAAATATTGATATCAGCTGGAGTCCAAAGTGAAGGAAAGCAGGTGACAATAAAACTCATTTTAGCTATGGCAAGGAAAACCAATCCATCTGCTGCAATGAGAAGGAGGGTCTAGGAAAGAGCTCAGAAACAATTAGATTAAGTTTAAAACCATTGCCTGGTAGAGTATAAAAAGAGCCATCCATGAACAAAAAAGTGAAAAGATTTGACAGAACTGGGATTCTATTCATATAAAATAGTGACTATTAACATGCTATGAATCACTCTCCTTAGTTTATAAGCAAGGACACACAGGTAGACAGAGAATTCTAACTGGTCCTGGGCCACATAACAGAAAAGCTTAGAATTGAAGCTCAGACTGTCTTGATCTTGGAGCCTAAACTCTCAGGTTCTGTTCTGAATCAGGCAGTTGAATGTACAGCTCAGATAAGACCTAAATTTCGTTCTAAGTGTTGGTACCATGTTTATCAAAACCATCTTGGTAATTTAGTGTCTTTAACAAGCCACTCTTTACCCTAAAGTCTTTTGTAATGATATTTTAAGAATTCAGGGTAAGAACTACTTTAAAGAACTGACCAACAGACAGGCAGCCGTGGTACATGCCTTTAATTCTAGCACTTGGGAGGTAGAGGCAGGTGGATCTCTGAATTCAAGGTCAGTCTTGTCTACAGAATGAGTTCCAGGACAGTCAGAGATACACAGAGAAACCTTGTCTCAAAAAACAAACAAACAAACAAAAAACAAAGGACTGATCAACAATGTTCCCTTTGAAATTATATTGGACTGGGGTTTTGTGCTTTCCTGGTATAAGTAGCATATACATCTAAAAATGACTTTATCTCTTTTAATGATGTATTATTAGTAATAAGCTATTATGTGTTGGAATATTAATAAAGAATGAACCCTTGCTCCTTTTTTGATTTCTAGTAACAAACATAGTGTTTATTTTTTGTTGAAACAAATTTGTTTGCTGATCAGTGACTTATTTTCCTAGATAGAATTTTCAGATAGCCAACTCAAAATATGCTGACCTCATTAGTACTCTACGTAAGAGTTCTATAACTCAGGCATTCCCCTAAGCCCACCCTGAAGAAAGTAAGTGGAGTGATATGCAAAAAGCACCACTTTTCCCCCTGCTTATGCCTCTTCAGTTTCTCTCTTCCACCTTAAAAGTGGTTGGAAGGTGAGGCTGGAGTCATGCTGACTGCTCTTTTTCATTTCGATTTCTTTTTCTTGCTTGGTACCTATTAACTTCACTATTTCTCTGAGAGGAATGTCAGAAAGTATGCATCTCTATTGTGCCAACATGGGTGGCCTTGCCCTCCTTCACACACTGTCTTCTAAGGTTTTGGATGAAAGCTGAAGATGAACTGTGGAAGCGTCCTGCAGTTTCTGCCACCACAGCAAGTCAGGCACCTCCGCCACAGGTTTGACCTTTTCCTTTTCCCACAGTCAAAGATGCTAATCTTTTATCCCTCCCTCCCTGCCTACCATGCACACTTCCCTACACAGGACGTGGTTGCTGTGGTTTTCCTTTGGAGATATTTCTCACTACAAATGTGTCCAGAGAATCCTAGCACAGATGACAGTAGCACCATTAATTCAGCCTTCGGAAGCATAAGGCTATTTATGGAAGGTTTGCTTCTCTTCAGTTCCCGTTCTTACCCAATTTACTTATATCTTCTTCCACATTTCATTTCAGTCCCCGAAACCTCACTTTTTCCTCAGCAGATTGTTTACAAGGGAGAGAAATAAAGGGAGAAGCTTGTTATGAAATTATGAAAGCGATACGTAAATCCTCTTCTGGTAAAATAAGGCTATCTATAAAACTGTATCTCTTCTTATGTTTGCTGTTGATCAGTACAAATCATATTTGGTTTTTAAACAAAATTTTGTTTTCAATAAGCAGATTTGTGTCATTTTAATAAAACCTTCTTAAAATCTAACTTAAAATAATTTGTCTGGTTATAATTTATGCTACTATAACTGCTAAAATTCTGAAAAGCTCCAGTTCATGCTCCTTTACCTCACACAAGAGACATCTCAAGGCTATGTTACTTTACTTACCGCCAAGTTTCGCCCTGATGGAACTGTCTGGTACTTCCCTGGAATTCCATCTTCTGCTCTGTTGTAGCTCTTCTGATAGTACCGTTTGCCTTTTGATTGTTGTTTGAAATCCTTTGTCTGGCCTCGGAACTCGATTTTGAGGTTTCACATCACTGAAACTCACCAGGTTTGGTATGGTTCTGCCAATGCCAGGCTTTAAATCAGCATCAGCACCAGGACTCAGGAATCCTGAGCAGGGATCACCTAAGGGCACATCATCACGAAGTGGAAACAGTGGATGCTCCTTCCCATAGGGTGGGGGATAAGGGTAGTGAAGATGGTAATCTGGCAGCACTGAAGGGGGATAAGGATGAAATTTTAAAAACGCAGGGTTGCCTTTATTTTCAAATCTGCCATAGTTATGTCTGTCTTCGAGTCCTTTCACAAAGGGCATGTTCATTTTCCATAAGAGATCACAATAGTGCGGGTAATCTGGATGCTCCAGAGTCTTTGCTCCTGAGAAGACGAACCTTTTAGGGATACTTATCTTTCCGGGTTTGTTCTTAACCTCCAAATCCATGGAATCTCTCATCATTTTTAAGGATTGCAAATTAAATTCTTTTGATAATTCTTTTTTTCTTTAGCTATTAAGAGCCCATATTTCCAATAGCGGGAGATTAAGATTAATCTAGCATAAAATTATTAATTCAATTTTCTAAATGTTAGTGTTTTTTTTTAATCTCAAGGTATTTTTTTTCTGCTGAAAGAGCGATAGGGAAGTACAGAAATAGGGCAGAATAAAAGAAAAAAGAGCCTTTGTTGCTTGGCAACAGGTAGAACCATAACTCATGGAACTACTTATTATGTGAATCATAATGTATTTCTTAGGAACCATCCCCCAAAAGTGCTAGTAATATTTCTTTTACACTCTTTTCTCCAATACTCAGGAAACTAATATCATATACATATTTACATATAAGTACAAATATGTATTTTTCATGTTTATATTTTGTGGGTAAGAATCACTTAAAGAATATACTGAAGTTGATCTAGTGAATATACCACATATACAGTCTCTCTCTCTCTCTGACATACAAACTAGAACTAAGTATTTAACTGATATGTGATAAAAATTAGTATGTTTAATTTAAACACACTGTAACAATGAATATGTATTAATACTCACTTTTAAGGAAAGTAATTCAGAAATTATAGCCAAAGTAAAGGTGCATTCTTATATAATTAAAATTATCCTCAGTTTCCTTAAGGACACCACAATGTCCAGAGGGGAAGCAATGAGGGTTTTTAATGTTATTTCAGTAAGTGGCTAAAATCTGTTTAGAGTGATAAGTGTACCAGTCCACTTAAGAGCTGTTTTTAAATAGACAATTTGGTGTGTGAAAACCGCAACTAAATTGAAGTATTAGAATTTGAGGGATAAAAATCCGCACCTTCCTTAAATGAATCAAGCAAGCAAATTGTCCAGGAACAGAATATATAAATCAGATCAACTGTAAGGTAGTTTGTATAAGCAGTGACCATGCCCACCTTTGATGATGTTTGAAATTTAGAGATATACCACTAAACAAGAGGTAAAATTGAAAATAAATGGTTAAGTCTTTCAGCATGAGGTCCTGGACACAGTATATCTAAAACAATGAAGTCAGAGAGTTTTAATTCACCCCATACCGCTCATTTCTTCATATTAAAATGAAGAAGCCAGACTGTTTTTAGTTGTTCAAAATATTTAAGATTTATTTCTACCACAGTTCGACTATCATTAAATGCGTCCAAAGGCAGAAAAGTGGAGTATGAGTCTCTTTCACCTTAAAATACACTCTCACTATAAATGGCCTCTTAGCTGGTTTGGTATGTTTTCCCGGAGTCAGGTTCTGAAAGGTGATCTTCCAAGCTGAGTCAGTTTCATCTAGGGCCATTTTCTCTGTTTTCCCATCATGTCATCTGTTTTAGGCGAAATCTTTAATCCCTCCTAGGTGTTCACTGCATCTCACTTCCATGAAGTTCCACATACTGAGAATGTACAAGTTGTTGGCATTACTATAATCATATAGGTTACTTTATGAGACCTGTACGTGCCTTGTCATTAGTCCTCAGGATCAGCAGTCATGAGTAGGCACCCAAAGGCTGAAACTCAATACATTGCCAGGGTAGTCAGGAGGGTTTTCCTTTCTACCACAGACATCAGAGAAAGGCCAGGGTTAGAACTCTGGGGCACAAGATTGTTCTCCTAGCTTTGGAATCTCTGACAAGCCACTTCGGTTCTGGCGGGTTCCCTCAGGGGTGCGGTGGCCTCAAAGGCAAAGGATCGACACCCCTGCCTCCCGTGCGCTCCCAAGCCAGCTCCCAGGCTAGCACACCTCCCGCAGACGGCCCGAGCGGAAGCGGCGGCGTGTCCGTCGGTCCGTCCTTCCGGCCCGCCGTCCGCCAACTTCCGGCGGCGGGTGGGCGCGCGCCAGGTAACGACCTTCGGCGCCGAGGCTCGGCCGGCGGCGGCGTGTGGATGGAGGCCTTGGCCCCGGGCCGGGCTCCGCGGGGCCGGCGGCGGGCCGGGACTGAGGGCTCCGCGCTCTCGGCGTTGTCGGTGGCCGCCGTTCTGCTCTCCGCCTTGCTGCGGGCGCCCCCTGCAGGTGAGGCTCGGCGCCGCACGGAGGGCGCTCCGGCGGTCGCGGCTCCTCACGAGAATTGCGGTGGGCCCGAGTCACGTGACCCCGTCCCCGTCCCACCAAGCGCCCCCCCCCCCCCCCCCCCCCCCCCGTGGCTGCTCCTGCACCGGGCAGCCTTGGTTCGTGTCTGAGAACGATAGGGAAGATCGCGGTGGGAACGCGAAGGCGAATGAGGCCTAGCTGCAGGAGATTGTTCAGATGTGAAGCTTTCATTGAAAAGTGCCTTAATAAACTTAATAAGTTCGTGGGTCATCGCCCACCTTGTGCTTCAGAGCGACCGTCTATAGTGATGTATTGTGCTGGACCTGTGCTGTCACCCCAATGAGCTCTTGAAACATCTTTGGTGGTGGAGCGCCCTCTGTTGGCTCTAGCTGTAAAATGCAGGATGTCGCTGGGGTTTTGGGATTTAAACCCTTCTCACAGTTTGAAAATATATTTATACTGGAGAAAGAAAAGAAAGTTTACTAGCTTTGTCTTTTTTAAGGTAGAAGGCTGTGGTTGTATTTTTTGTGTCTTTTAAGGTGTAGCCTTACTACTAATAAGCTGTGTCCCATGGATCCTAAGGCAATGTACTAAAGATAACACTTGTCAGAAGTTAAAATTTGTTCATATGAGGGAGAACCAAGGATACAAACGGAGAAGGAATGTGAAGAAAGGAATAGGGCGGAGTAAGGCAAGAAAAGGGGTGTGTTTGTTAGTATAACTTGACACAAACTATAGGCACTTGGGGATAAGAACCCTTAACTGAAGATTTGTTTCTACCCGATTGACCTCTGAGCATGACCGGCAAGTATTTTCTTAATTGCTTTTGATGAGGGATGGACCAGTTCTCTGGGAGTGGTGCCATCCCTGGGCAGATGGTCCTGGGCTGTGTAAGAAAGTAGGCTGAACAAGCCAGAGGAAGGAAGCCAGCAAGTAGTGTTCCTCCATGCTTCTACTTCACTTCCTTACTCCAGGTTTGGACTTGAGTTCTTCCCTTGGCTTTCCTGGACAATGTATACATTGTCAGTGTATACCTGACCCTGTCCCTCTCTGCACCCTGTCCCATGCTGATTTGGGGCATAGTGTTTATCACAGCAACAGAAGGCATACTAGGACACGATAGGAGTGGGGGTATGACGATTACTCCTTATATATTATAAAGACCAGGTCTTTAGTGCAAAGATAGTTCTGTGAGAATAAAGAATTGCCTTTAATTATTCTATCTAAGGAAGATGCATTTGAATATGGCTGTTGGCCTTATACCTGGTAATGAAAGATTGTGTTTTTGTTTTAAAATGTTGCCTGGCTTTCCTTTTCTCCAATAAGGACTATCAAAAACAGCACAAGTAATTAGTATCTTAGCGTGTAAGCTGTGAGGAGTAAAGGCTGATATTTATATAGCACTTCACAGCCCCTACAATAAACCTGTAAGGTTGGAGTTACTGTCAATCTTATTGCAGACAAAACCCTCCAACTGGTGACTTAAAGTAACTTTCTCTATTTCAGGATGTGGCAGAATTTCAAATAAGCTCTGCTCCAGCCTTCAGTGCCATGATCTCCCCTTTTACTTGCTTGCTGCCAAGGCTCTTTGGGGTTAATGCTTTACAGTCGTTGCATAGCCTTCCCCATTCATTCTGTCCCCCAGCATCATGCCATAATATATATGCTCATCCAACAATGAAGGGAGACGGTCAAGATGCTTTCCATAGTTCTGGTTTTTAATAGTTTCCATGTTAAAGGTGAGGTGCTTGCAAATGGTTCTTGATAAATGGTCCTTGACTTAAACACTGGTGCTTCCATGCGTGGAGTTTGTACCAAGAAGAATGGTGTGCATGTATGATTAACTGCATTCCGTTGTAGATTGTTAAAAGAGAGATGCCAGTTATTTTCCATGATAGCTGAGCAATGAGGACAGGAGAGGAATTTGATTTGGGCCCTGTAAGGTGGGAGAGTATTTTAAGTAGGCACAGAAAGGCTGGGTTAAGATTTATAACAGGGGTAAGTTATAGGTATATTAAATTCTTTAAGGAGTACGCAGAGCAGTAGAGAACATGTCATAGGAGACTGATTTATGCTCCTTGCAGTGGAGGCAAGGTACTCTTATTTTAATATTTTGAAATTTTTACAAGACAGACTTATATCATTTGTTTTCTTTTTGTTTTTCATAGTTGGATATTTGGCTCGATTGCCAAGAAGTTTTCGCTTGACTCAAGATTCACTGAAAATAGTTGGATCATCACATTTTCCCGGTACTCATGAATAGCTTTTCAGTAATAGAATGTTACTATCATCCATCTACAATTTAAGAGTCTGCTGAAAAGGCTAGTGCTTCCCAGTTACTCTGGTTCCCGAGCTCCATTTAATTCTGTGGAGTTGAATAAAGTGGTTTCTCTGTGGAGCTGGAGTCATTCAAGTCTAATTCTGTGTGCAAAGAAAAGTTATTTCTAAAAGTTAACTAAAGTTTCCTGTAGTGCTTTTACTTGTAACAGATGCACTTCTCACTATGATATTAAATGTAGGAAGGTTAAATATGCAAAGATAATTTCATTTACGATCTAAACACCGTAAAGATTTTGGATATATGTTTTCAGAGTATTCACACAAGACACAACAGCTGCAACATTTTTGGGATTTTATTCAGTTAATTTTATTTGTCATGAAATGCCTTCTTTAATGTTTTTTCAGTTTGTTGACAAGGTTGACAGCCAACAGAACTCTAATTTCACACCACCATCATATTGTAAAAAAAGCTCCTGTGTTCATTAAGCAAGTATTCTTGGTCCTGAACACTGCTAATACTTTCTGATTGATATTTGTTGTTATGGGCTTAAGTAAAACTACACATTATATGGCCTTTGTATTTACTTTTTGTGATATTGTTGAGAGTGTATAAATACTTCATTCCTTCTTACAGTTGAATAATGTTCTTTTGTATATTAATGTTTGTATTGAATTCTCTTGTTTATTTTAGAAGAATAATTTATGGCTACCATGTCAGTGATATGTTCAGTCTATAAAATACTTTCCAGAGCGCCTACCTTTCCCTTCATAGCAGCAATGTATGAAGTCCAGACTTCTTAACAGGCACACCAAACCTTGGTACTGTCAATGTATTTTTATTATCACCATCCTACTTGTGTGTGAAATGATAGCTTATTCTGGTTTTGAGTTCCTAATGACTAATGAGGTGCTCTTCTCATATATACCTAATTATATATAGTAGTAATGCCTATTTGAGACCATATCTGGCTCTTACTTATTGCTTTTGTTGAGTTGTAGAGTTCTTTCTTTTGCATTAATACTGTATATAATACCACATAGCATCCTGACTGTTGGAAGCTTATTAAACATAATATGACTTACTAACATTTTCTCCCACTCTGTCAATTATATTTTTACTTTTTAAGTCTTTTGAAAAGTACATTTTAAACTTTGATAGTCTTAGTTTATCCTTTTGTTTTTTTTAAGAGTCTCATAGTCTTCACTGTAATCCATTCTGATTAATTTTCGCTTGTGATTCTTTAGTGTATGGCTATTGTGTTGTTGCCACTGTTATTTGGCTGTGGGGTTAGTGATGGGCTCCCCATTCTGGTCCATTGGTCTGCATTTCTGTTTCTTATGCCAACACCTTTGATATTTGAATTGTTATTGCTTTATAGTGAGTCTTTCAGTAATTAAATGTAAAGCCTTCAATTTTGTTCTGTTTAAGATTTTTTTTTGTTGCTACTCTGGGTCCCATTCAAATCCACATTAATTCTATAATCAGTATCAATTTCAATAAAAGTACATTGGACTTTTAAAATTGGATTGAACTGAATCTATAGATCAATTTTGCCCCTTTTTATTCTTTCACTCAATAAACATTAAATAGTTTCACATTTGTTTAAGACTAATTTATCTTCATGTTGCCTTGTAGGTTTCTGAATATGTTTTGTAGTTCTATTGTTTCTTCCTACGTATCCTTTTAATTCTGTTTTAAATGAAAGAATTTAATTTAGCTAGGTTTAGATTGTTTATTGTTTGTTTATAGACATGCTATTAACATTTCCATATTGATATCATACCTTTCATTTGCATAATTTATTTCTTAGCTCTTTTTGGGATTATTCTTTAGCATTTTCCATGCAAAGTATGACTCCCAAAGTTAGCTGCATGGTTTTGTTTCTGCTATGAATGCAAGTTTTTCTTGCAAGTTGCTTCATTTAGAACTTCTTCGTCCATATTGGTTATAGCAAATGGCTTTGTGTTGTGCTATTTTAGAGGACAGGAAATCTCTCCGATTTTGAGTATTCAACACAATGCTGTGATTTTAAAGATGTTCTTAATCTGACTGAAAATGATTCCTTCTGTTTTGTTTTGAGTGTTTTTACTGTGAAGAGTGTTGGATTTTTGCCAAATTGTTTTCCTATGTCGCGAGAGTGTTAGCAGGTCTGCCTCTTATGAGGGTTATGAGCAAAAGGTCTGTTCCAGAGGTCTTTGCTTTGGTTATAAATGAACTACCTTCTCCACAAATCTCTTTAGTATCTTATCTTCCCCTTGTATAAAAGTAATAGTTTCATTATTATGTTTTCATAATATATAGCATGCTTTGATCACATTCCCCCTCCTTTGCCCACCCTCATCATCTTCTGTCTTTGAACTAGTACCCCTTCTCCTTTCATATTCTATTAAAAATATCCAAGACTAGGGAGATGGCTCAGATGTAAGAGTGCTTGCTGTCTATGCATGAGAATCTGACTTCAAATGCATACACTCATGTAAAAGCTGGTGTGGTCCTGAATGGCTGTAACCCTAGCATTAAGGGAAGGAGAAGGGTGAATCCCAAGCTCACTAGCTAGACAGCCTAGCTGAAACTGAGCTTCAGGCTCCATCAGAGACTGTGTTGGAATAGAATGAGGGGGAGAGCAATAGGGGATGGTCAGTGCCATCTTCTGCTCTCACAGTCTAATGAATAAGTGTGCATTCACTGTACACATGCACCACACAAAATACAGATTCACCATGCATTATATATATCTTGCCAAGCATGATTTATTTTACTTTCCAGGATCTTACGATCCATCATATTTTCTGAAATAACATAATTTTGTTATTTTCCATGGATGAATAAAATTCACATTTTAAAAGTTCATGTTGTTTTATACCTAGGCTGATTCTGTAATTGGGTGTCATGAATAGTACCACAATAATCATTGGTGTGCACATGTCTTTATTGTATGCTGACTTAGTATTCTTTGGATGGATATATGTATATATATATACACACAATATTTGTATTTATATATGTATATATACAATATATTTTTATTTATATGTGTACATATACACATACACACATGTATGTATGTATGTGTGTATGTATGTCCAAGGGCCTTGTAGCTAGAACCTCTGATAGTACCATTTTTAGTTTTTATAGACCCCCACACTGATTTCTATAGTGGCTACACTAATTAGTATCCCATAGACAGTATATAGATGTTGCCCATGTCCACCCATGTCCTAACTTGTATGTTCTCTATTTGTTTTCTTCTTAGAAATCTCTTCTTATTTTGTTTTTTTTGATATTATAATATACTTATATAATTTCCTCCCTTCAATCTCCAGCCCCATATACCCCTCCTTATTCTCTTTAAAATTCATGGCTTCACTTTTAATTGTTGTTTTTGTTTTTGTTTGTGTATACAACCGGCTCAATCTGTATAATGGTATTTGTATGCATGCTTCCAGGCTTGTTCTTTGGTTCTGGAAAGACAATTGGTATACTCTTTCCTGAGGAAGACTATTTTTTCCTGCTCACAGGTTTTCTTAGTTGCCTATAGTACTTTGTGTAGGGTTAAAGCTTCCAGAACTTTCCCATTATCCATGTTAACATGTCTGTTGGGGCTATTCTGTTTAGGAAGTCATGTTGGTTAGATTTGGCATTCCTTGGAGACACAATCTCACAACCAACTTTGGAGCTAGGAGCCTCCAGTGAGAAAAAACATGCCACATCTGTCTTTCTTGGCCTGGGTTACTTCACTTTTTATTATCTTTTCTGGTTTCACCCCATTTACACTGAAAGTTCATGATTTCATTTTTCTTTATGACTGAATAGTGTAGTGTTTCATAGTATATATGTACCAGGTTTTCATGATCACCACTTTGAATGGAACGGAATCTCAATATGGGTCTCACTTGCACGTGACTAGTGGATAAGGATGCTGACTTCTTTTTCATGGATTTAGTGGACATTTGCATTCACTTTTTTCTTGTTTTCTTTCATTGAATATAGTTTTTTTTTCATACAGTATATCCTGATTACAGTTTCCTTCCCTCCCTCTGCTTTTTCTTGTTTCTTCCTACTTCCCCTTCCATCCAGATCCACCTCTTTTCTATATCCCATTAGAAAACAGATAGGCATCTAAGAGATAATAATAAAACAAAATAAATCATAATAACACAAAAACAAAACACAACTGAAGAAAGATAAAATACAACAAACAAAAGGAAAAGAGTTCAAGACAGGCACAAGATACAAATATATGCACCTAGAATCACTCGTTCCTTCACATAATCACACACCCATAAAAACATAAAACCTGGAGCCATATTTGTTTTTTTTTTTATTGAGAAAAGAGAAAAAAAAACAAATTTCCTCCTCCTCCCAGCCTCCCATTTCCCTCCCCCTCCTCCCACCCTTCTCCCCCTCCCCCCACTCCTCTCCCCCTCCCTCTCCAGCCCAAAGAGCAGTCAGATTTCCCTGCCCTGTGGTAAGTCCTAGGTCCTCCCCCCTCCGTGCATTTCTAGGGAGGTGAACATCCAGACTGGCTAGGCTCCCACAAAGCCAGCACATTACGTAGGTTCAAAACCCCGTGCCATTGTCCTTGGGTTCTCATCAGCCCTCATTGTTCGCCATGCTCAGAGAGTCCAGTTTTATCCCATGCTTTTTCAGTCACAGTCCAGCTGGCCTTGGTGAGCTCCCAATAGATCAGCTCCACTGTCTCAGTGGGTGGGTGCTCCCCTCGTGGTCCCGACTTCTTTGCTCATGTTCTCCCTCCTTCTGCTCCTCATCGGGACCTTGGGAGCTCAGTCCAGTGCTGGAGCCATATTTGTGAAGGACCTGTAAATGGGGGGAGAAACTGGACAATATGCAAAGAGTAAGAGAACCTGGAACACTCAGTCCTAAATGGGATGTCTTCATCAAATTCCTTTTCTGAGGGTTTAGAATTATATAAAAGAAGTCAGAAACATTGTAACAGCCAGAGGGAAT